CACTTGTCTGCAAACGAAGAAAATGTATTTTAATACTTTTTTCTGATAAAAAAGATTTTTTCAAATGCGTAACAAAAAACATTTAAACATTTGAACTAATAAAAATTTTTGAATTTAAGAATTATAAAAATTAAATTAATGTTTGTTTTACCTACATTGTAATTTTCAAACAAAATTTTTGGCTTCAAAAACTTTCATAATAATAATAATAATAATAAAAAAACGAATTTCATAATAATAACAATAATTTAAAATTAATTGAATCAATTTAATTAATTGTAATTAAAAATAAAATATTTAATAAAGTATAAATTAAATGTAAATTATAAAGGTCACCTTCTTGTATTTTATTAACAAACTATGTAAACTTTTAGCGGTGGGAAAAAAAGTTTAATAAGACAGTCATTATTTAATGCATTTTATATGTTAATTTTTAATTATTGATGCAAAATGTTCTAATCTTTTAATACTTTTAAAAGAACTTGTATTAAAATTTAATAACATAATCTATATAATTTTAAATCACGAAAATGTATAAGTAAATCGCAGTAATTACAAGTTACAATTATAATAGTTATGTTTACGTTGTGTAAAATTTTATATTTTGTATATTTCCTAAGTGAAAATTGTAATTATTTATACTTTTAATCGCTAATTTGTGGTAAATTTCCAGAAAATAATTTAAAAACTTTGTATAAAAATTTATCTAATAAAGCTATTACAATTATACATTTTAAACGAACTGAAATTTATAGTTGAAAAAAAGTTTTCAAACATTTGAACTGGTCTTTTGGTAGATCTAATTATTATCAATGTATATATATATATACATTAATCACATTTTTCATTATCGTCAGTTTTGTATAAAGTAAATTGTGTTCACTAATTGCATTTGTAACTAAAAATAGAAAAAAAAATATTTCCAAATCTAGTTTAGATAATAAAAATTTTTTGAAAATTTTTAATTTATTCATTATATATTTTAATTTTGCAAAATTCTCCTATTTCCAACACATCTAATTCTTATTATGAAACAAAAAAATTTCATTTCTGTACGAATGTAATAAGGGAAAAATATATTTTTTAAATTTCCATTAATAATTTATGTTTTCTTTTAAATTTACTTTTAAAGGATTAATATTTTTTTTAAATTTATCTCATTTCACTTATTGTTAGTTATTTATTATAGATTGCATAGAATTGATTTTTTATTTTTAACTCTATTTTTTGAAGGCGATTAAAATGAATAAATACATAGCTAAATAAAATAATATTTATTTTCTTTGAATTCGTGAAATTTTAAATATGAGAGAGGGAATTTCCAGTCTTAAATGGAATTGTTTTCTTTTAAATTTAATTCTTTTTCAGTATTTTTTTTCACTGTACCACAAAATTTAAAATGGATGCTGCAACATTGCATTTATATTTCAACATTTCTGCAATATTACGGAATATTGCGTAATATTGTTAAAACGTTGACGAGTAATTTCAGATAATATTACAGAAAGTGATATTAAGGTAATTTTATCGAGAGTTAATATTAGGTAAGTTTTACACTTTAACATTTAATATCAAGGTAATATTTCATCGAAATTTTAAAGTAATATTCGTTTCTAAATAATATTGAGGTAATTTTACACTGTAATATTTCAATAATTTTTAAGTAATATTTCAGTATTATTTAAGTAATATTCAGGATTTACTGAATTTTGGACTAAAATTAACTTTGGGGAGACCGAGGTGAGTTATAACAAAGCTGATTTCTTGAAAGCTATGACCTCGAGGTTACAACTCACCTTGGTACTAGGTGAGTTGTAACACCGGGAACTGTTTTGGATTTTGCAATTTTTTCGTAAACCCTTACAACTTTTTACATTTTTCATTTTTGATTCACATACTACTCAAAACTATCTATCCGAAAATACAAAGCTCATAAAAATATGGACAATTTTTTGGTGAGTTATACTGGATAATGTAAAAATCGTTTCAACTCACCTCGGTCTTCCCTACTAAGCATTATTTATTATTTACAATAATGTTATAAACAAAAAATTACAATTGCAAGAAATGACCATTTTTTCGTAACTTTCAGTCGAATCGACGGTTTTTAAAATATTTTAAAAAGATTAACATTTTATATTTTGTTTAATTAATTCTTGTTTAGAAATTAGAAGTTAAGAATTGGTTCAAAAAGAATTATTTTCACTTAAATCCAGAATATTATAAAAATTTTACAAAATTAAATTTATAAAACAATTTTTTAAGGATTTTTATAAATGCAATAAAATTAAAAAAATTAATTTGCATTCCGATAGGTTTCATTGTACAATATTTAAACAAACTTGTTTAAGTCCTCTTATTATTGTAAAAAAATGTTAAATATTAACTGTTAACGCTTTGATAAAAGAAATTAAATTTTACTGAGCTGTAGAGTATGAAAGTAATTTTGCAATGTAATTATAATTTCATTGTTCAATTAAGAATTTTTTTTTATAAGTACAATAAATTGTACGAGAGGGCATGTCCTGTTTATATATTAAATAAATAATGGGAGCTTATAGTCTAGTTGTTAGTGTCCAAGTCAACAGTCCAGAAGGTTCCGAGTTCGATTCCTAGGAGAGGCTGATATTTTAGTTTCAATTTAATAATTAAATTAAATTCGATATTTGAATAACAAATATAAAAGCGATTAAAAACATGTTCCATGCTGTGTGGAATTATTTTCTTTATAATTTTAAATTCTTAATTATTACTCGGTACTATTAAAACAATATTGAAGCAACATTACACAGTAATATTACACCACATTCTTGAGCTAATATTCAACTAATATTAACTAAACAAAACGTGGTAATATTCAGTTAATAATAGACTCAAATTCTACCAAAATTTATCACACAAAAAAACTATACGCTATTTCTATACAATATGTATATAATCTCATCTATTTCGTCTAAGTGACGTGTCACTATCCTACATGTGTATGTACACACATATATATTTATATAGGTATATGTTCTATTCACGTAAACGGCACCTCTGAACCACGTGCTACGCGTGAATTTAAAAAAGAGAAGATGGGAGAAGAAGAAGAAGAAGAAAGAGAATAAAGAAGAGAAGGATGAAATATCCTGTATTGACAACGTGGTACCACCGAGTTCCACAAACCAGCGCCAACCCTGAGCTCAGCTGAGCTCTCTCGACCAATCAAAAACGATCACGCGACTTGCACCATCGTAACCGAACTCACTTCCTATAAGCCCACCAAAATTTAACAAGAAAAAAAAACTGTACGCTATACCGGTTTTTTATTACAACAATACCTGACATTCGATAATTTAATTAAATTACACACTTCTCTCTCTCTCTTTCTCTGAAAGAAAAAAATACAATCTCTCTCTTCATTTCGTACAATTTTTGCCACTAAATAGAAAGAAGGTCACATTTTCCTTATTTACTATAACTCAAAGTCACGGTTAAATATTTAATCGCGTGAATGTCATTCAGATTGTTTAATAAATCACTGCTGATTACATAGCCGAGTTCTTAATATTTTCCTTTCGTTATTTTCATTTTTCCTTTTAATAATTATAATAATAATAGTGTCAACAGATGCGGAAAATAGAACAGAAAATTGCAATTGGAAATTTTCGTTTTTAATTTGATTGTTGCATTTGAAAATTTACAAATCACGTTCTCAAATATGATTCATTTGGAAATATGAATTTATTTGCATATTATTGTTATAGAGGCTTTCCTTACATGAATAATCGTTCTCACCTTTGACATGTATATCAAGTAATTTCCTATGACGATTTTTCACAACAATATTATTAATAAAAAATTAATATAGGAAAAGAAAGTGTTTCCGAGACTTGTATCAATAAATAATTAATAATGCAAAGATATTAATTATATTACCTTCCACTTTCTACTTCTAACGGAATATTTATTTATTGTAATAAACCGTTTTAAGTATATAATTAAAATATTTCTACTCTCCTTTTTGTTCTTTTTTTTATATATAATTTTAACAAAAATTGGGAAGTGTTAGCTAATTTTAATTAATTGGTCTATTTTGTAAGTTGAAACTTAGATTTTTTTTACCGAAGATTTTTACAGATTTTTAAATTATTTTAGTATTTATAAGTACTTTATTTATAAAAATAAGGGGGAAACATTTTAATAAATGAATGATGAATTATCTGAAATTTATGAAATATGACAATTCGTAAAGAATTATTATCTAGAAAATAACCTAATGAATTATTCTAAAAATTATTTTTTTTTCTTTTAAAGTAAAAATTTTGAAATGTTCTTTGAAAATTAGAGAATTCAAAAAAATTATGTAATAAAGTATAGACTCCACGTGCAAACGAATCTTACAGGCATAAAAATTATTACACATAGAATTAATTTTATCAATTTAAAACCAATTAGAAGAATATTAAAAACTAATAAGAATATTCACATGAAGTTAATTCAGTTTTAATAAATGAAATTATTTTTTACTTTTCAAATTACTTAAAAGTGGTTAAAAGTATTTAAAAAAATTTACTTAAAACAAAATTAAATTTAAAATTTTTATTTAAATTTAAAATAAAAAAGTGAATCACAAATCTTTATTCAAATCCAGTGTCAAAAAGTTATTTGTAAAATTAGGAAAAAAATAAAATTAAAAAATTTGAATTGAAAGTAAAAGAGAAAATTTATAAAAGCGTCCTTTAAATATATTCTGGCATTAATTTTGATTTTTCTAGAAATAATAGGGGGAAAAAAAGTTACCTAGTAGCATTCCTGAAACGAATTGCCCATAAGAATGTGAAACAAGTCAGGTAAAAACCTGACATTTTTCGATATCCGAAAATTATTTACATTTACAAATATAATTTCTCAAAAAAAAATTCTTACTTTAAAATTTTAATACTCAACTAACCATAATTCAGAGAGAAAATAAAAGATATATTTCTAATGTAAAAATCAAAATATTCCCAACGTACCTGTTTCAAAAATTGAGTGATGAAATTTATTTTCCTCCGAAGATGGTAGAACTAGAAAATTTGTTTTCTTCCTTAAAAAAAATTTTTTTTTGAGTAAAAGAATTACTTTTTATGATAAAAGAAACTTAAAAAAGATCACAAATTTTATATAAAAGCTATATTATATTATATTATATAAGTGTATAAGAAATTGGAAAAAATTTTAAATGACGCTTTGAGCCGACTAGATTTACGTTGAAAACTATATGTATAAAGCCAAAGAACGAGAATTTAACTGAACGGTCTGACCGAAACTGACAAATGCCGGTTGCTGAGCACGCGGTAAATATCACGTATACTGTGTTTCCCTAACATGAATTGAATAGAGCGCCTGCGTCAACTGTTGACAATTCGATAATTTTTTCTTTTGTTATTTCATAAAGCCCGCAAAATGAGGGCCAATGAAGTGCCTAAATGTGAACGCATGCGTATTACTTTGACAGAGTTTGGAAACGTTGCTTCTCATCCAGATTGTATAGTCATCGTCGCAGGGAATATACCTATAATATGAAAATAGAGGGAAACTATATTGCCGAACATTGCTTTTTTCCTCTCATTATCTGATCGATATTTCTAGAGGAACAGGATTTTTTTTCTGTATTTTTTTGAATTTCTTTCTTTTAATTCAATGTGGCGAAAAATTAATATGGCGGACGAAAAACTGTTAACGATAACCTTTCTGCTATCGCAAATTTCAAAAAATTTAATTTTTTAAATTTAATTATAATAAATTTTTAAATTTTACTTTTAATTAAAACTTTGAAATTTTAATTTTAATTCAAGTTTTTAAATTTTACTTTGAATTAAAATTTAAAAATTTTAATTTTAATTCAAATTTATAATTACACGGAGAAAAATGAATATTTAATAGGTAAATATCTAGATGTTAAAGTTTAATATTTTTATTCTTTAACATATAGGGACAGCTATCTAGATATTAAAAGTAAATATCTGGATATTAAGCGTTAATATCTAGCATGTGATTTGAATATCTAGATATTAAAGTTTAATATTTTTGATGTTAATATATATTGAGTATATATATATATATATATATATAAATTTTTTTATTGACCTGTTCTGTGGACTTAAAAGATTCTTTTTTATTGCATAAAAAAGAAAAATTTAGGAAAATGAAAAAATAATTATTTTCCTCTTTCCATCTTTATTTTCAACGTTTCGAAATCTGTTCCGACCTCCTCTTCAGGGATACTATACTATTATTATTTATAATTATAAAATGTTCAAAAAAAATAGAAAAATTAATTAAAAGTTTTATTTAAATTATTATTAAGGGCATTTGAACCATTACGACGTCACAGTTTTAGAACACATGCTTTACACAAACTGTGATGTCGTAATTGTTCAAACGACCTTAAAATTTAATTAAAATTTAAAAATTTTAATTTAAAATATTAAATTCCAATTTATATTTTAAAATTGAGGGCGTGGATCGGATAACTGCCTGTAGCGCATGGCCGAAAGGGACTATACCAGTCAGACAACAGTGAGCGCCTCTAGGCCTCTCACTGATGTCTGACTGGTATAGTCCCTTTCGGCCATGCGCTACAGGAAGTTATCCGATCCATGCCCTCAATTAAATTTTTACATATAAATTATTAAATTGAAAAGTCATTAAAAAATGACATCATAAAGGCTAAAATATATATACCTTTAAGTTTAAATTTTAATTTAAATTTTTTAATTTTAATTTCAATTATTAAATTCTAATTTAAATTTTTTAATTCTAATTTACACTTTTAAATTCCAATTAAAATTTTTAAATATTGATTTAAATTAAAAAATTTTAATTTATATCACAAATTTCAATTAAACTTAAACTATTAAATTAAACTTAATTAAACTTAAGCTAAATTTTTAAATTTCAATTTAAAATTCATTTTAGATAATCATTTTACAATTTATAATTATACATATCATGAATTTTTCGATAAAATGATAAAATGACCGATTTTTTAACCTTTCAACTTTTAAATACCAAACGTAATAATTTTATCTTTTGTTATGCTTTATTTGCATATTTTATCATTTACAATGAGTAAAAAAAAATTTCAAGTTTTTATTTATATACAAAATTTGTGACGTATTTGAACAAAAGTAAAAAAATTTTACTTCATCATTCGGAGTGAAATTGTGTAAAAAATTTATTATATTTACATCAATAGAATTCTAAACTGTTTAGAAATTTTTAATATAACTTAATTAATATATAATATTAATTAATTGCATTTTGATTGCATTTTTTATTGTATTGCATATTTAATTGTATTTACTGTTTTTTTATTAACATTAATTATTAGGTAATAATGAGATATTAACTATTAATTATTAAGTAATAATTATTTATTATTTATTAATTTTTATTTACTGATTTTAAAGTAAAGGAGCAATTATATGAATGTTATCCAAAAATTAATTAAATGTACAAAAACGTATACTAAAAGCGAAAAAGTTTGTGAAAATTAATTTTATACAAACTATAAAGATTTAATTGATGAAAAAAATGTGCTTTTACATACGTAAGAGATGAGATTGACCTATGTCAATTTCCTAATAAGCATTCAAGCGATAATAGTTAGAAAAACGCTAATCTTAGACTAACACGTAATCAATATGTACTTTATCTATTAAAATGTTTATATTTTTTTTGTTAACTTTGACATTTTTAGTAGCATAAAAATGCCTACATTGATACATAGTAAAATAAATGATTTCAACAATGTGCAAATTTAATTTTTAATTTATTTTATTGAATCATTAACAAAAAGTGCAAAAAAATTATAAGTGATTTTAATAAATAATAATCGTTCTTAATTAATGTTAACAATTAGTTTCTAATTATTATGAATGCTGACGAGAAATTTAATTTTTAATTAATACTTAAAGTACCTATTAAAATAGTAAACGTTAATAAATTTTATTTTATTTAAATTCAATATATGGGGCATTCCAGGCCAAATCGAAAATTATTTTGCTTTTGCATCTCAAATTTTTTTTAAACATTTTTTTTCTTTTAGTACTCTTTGAAATGAGCTACCTTGATTTTTTTCAAATTTTTTCATAAACCGGTTCAGGAGATACAGATTTTTGAAAAATGACATTTTTTACGTAAATTTTTTTTTAAATGCTTATAACTTGGTCAAAAATTGATCAAATTGGACATTATTATAATGAAAAGTTTTGTTTTCACGCGTAGTTTTTAATAAAAATATTTAAAAAAAAATTTTAAATAATTTACGATAAGATTTTAAAATTTTTTAAATAAAATTTCATTTTTAACAATGTATGTAACGATCAATTTTTTTCAAAATTTTTTGTGAGAAACTAGCACTAAATTAACAATAAGCCTTGTCCGATCGTGGGCAAACGATGGGATCTATTTATTTAAAATTTTTAAATTTTTATATACACAGTGAAAACGATAGGCCTAACTTGTAATTTGACCAAATCACAATTTTACACAGAAAGAAGGTTAAGTTTGGAGAGACTCAGTCTGAAAACACATTTTCTGTGAAAAATTTGTGTGATTTTGTCAAATGGCAAGTTAGTGATTGGCCACCACTGCGTATATAAAAATTAAAATTTTTTAAATAAATAGATCCCATCGTTTGCCCACGATCGGACAAGGCTTAAAAATTGTTAATTTAGTGCTAGTTTCTCACAAAAAATTTTGAAAAAAATTGATCGATACATACATTGTTAAAAATGAAATTTTATTTAAAAAATTTTTAAATCTTATCGTAAATCAAGGTAGCTCATTTCAAAGAGTACTAAAAGAAAAAAAATGTTTAAAAAAAATTTAAGATGAAAAAGCAAAATAATTTCCGATTTGGCTTGGAATGCCCCATATATTTATAAACGAGATAAATAAATTAGTAACTAATAATACAAACATTTGTCAGTGATTTCAATAAATTTTCGCTTTTAATAATTATTAATTATTGAAAAAAGATTTAAGTAGGTACTAAAAAATTAAAAGTATTTAGAAAAGTATTTTAAAGTGCGCTATGAACTGTTTAATTATAATATAAATATATTTAATAATTAACAGTCAATAAATATTTATTTTCCATTAATTACAAAATACTTAAGAAGAAGAATATAATAGAGGAAATAGAACATCATTATTTAAATAAAAAATTGTTATCGATTACAATTAATTATTTTGATTACATGCATTGATATAAATAATTATTCATTCAATTATTCTCAAGTGTTAATTGATCATTTTTTTTCAAATGATGCTTTTAATACTAATGTTTGCTTTTCCAGCTAATTCTTAAAAGTTAAACAAATTAAAAAAATATCATTTTGAAAAAAAATAGTACAAAGTTGCTTAGTAAAGTAATAATAATAATAAATAATGTAATGATTTTTTAGTAATTTTTCTTTTGTAAAATTAAAAATTTTTTTTCTTTAAAAGAAAAAGAATTGTAAATTTTAATAAGATTTTTCTTCAGATAATTCGGTCTTGTGCGAGTGATTGTGTCCTCGTTTTTCTCTCACAGCTTTTATCAATTCTTTGGACGGTTGTTTCAAATCGTAGGCCCAGCCGATTTTGGAAAACATATCAATTAAAAAGGTCGTGTAATTTAAACTGTAATTTCCCAATTCTGCTGCTTTATAATCGTATGGAAATACGTGATGATAATTGTGCCAGCCTTCGCCCATTGCTACATAGGCAACAAATCTATTTTCCGCCGGTGCAATTGTCCTGTGTAAAAATTGACAAATTTTATTTTTATTTAATTAATTTAATTTATTTAAATTTACTATTTAAATTGAGGAAAAGTAGGAGAATAATTTTAGAGTTAGTAGAGTTCTAGAATTTTTTTTAAGAGCGTATTTATAATTGCAATGTTAAATGTTACGGTACTCTTGAGCAGAAGTTGTGCGCAAGCGCCGGAGTGGATAAGAAGAGCGAGAGAGACATTATCGTTTTTCTCTCTCACTCTCATTGCTCCACTAGGACGCTTGCGCGCACTTCTTTTTCGATTGAGAACCAAAAATTATAGTGTTAATAAAAATATATTTGTATTACTTGTCATAGGGTTTCGAACCCCAAATATGTGCCGCACTATTCACACTCCATGTAAAATTCAAAGATATAGCATAACGTGCTATTTGTGAGAAGATTGCGTAATACCATTCCTCATTCCAAAGGTATACCGGAATAATTGTTGGTATTATAAAACAGCATAAAATTTTAAATAGCACGAAATGTCTGCAAATGAATTATTTTATCAGAAGGTGTAAATATTTTTATTAATACAAACTTAAATATATCTAAACAGAAAAATTAAATACAAATATTGATAAAATCTTTTCGCAAGGCTTACTTTTCACCAAATGCAACAATTGGATCTGAGGTAACATCACTCATATCAACTTGTCGTCCTCGTCTTATAACTTCAGGATGCTTTTTCATCATCAACCAACCGACGTGAGAGAAGAAAAATCCACGAGTACTGTCATGTGGATCGGCTTCAGTTTCGGAATATTTATGATGAACACGATGATCTCTTACCCAGTCAAATAAGGAATTCTGATGGTCGGGAAAATAAAAATTTTTATTTGGGACAAATGAACAAAAAAATTTTCGGACTTTTATTAAATGGTATTAAAGAAATTAATATTAAATATTGTTATGAAATAAAATTGAAAAAAATTATTATTATAAATAGTATAAATAATAACAAAAAATAATTAAATTACTAATAAGAATAAATTAAAAATAATAAATAATTACTAATAAAAAAGGTTTTCATAATTTTCTTACTTGTCCTGATGTGTAATAAGAATACAGTAGAATCACTCGAAGAGGCCACTTGGCTTTATAAGCACGATGAGTCCATAGACGATGGGCACCACCAGTCACTCCAAAACCGACCAGTTGTCCAACAAGATATGCTAGAAAAATAATTACATTTTGAGAAATTAGAAAATAATTTTGTTACAAACTTTAATTGTTAACAATAAAAATCTAAAAACAGACTTTACTAGTTTAAAGAAGAGAATTTTTCAAATTTAAATTTTATACTTAACTAAGGAGAAGAAGAGTTGCGCAAGCGCTAAGACAATGTGAGTGAAAGAGAAGAACTGCGATTACTTTTTCGCTCTCATTGCTCCCACTCCGGTGTTCGCGCACTATTTCTCTCTAGCGCTAGAGTGGGAACAATAAGAGAGAAAGAGAAATCACAGTCTTTCTTTCTCACTCTCATTATCTACACTTTTAACATTTATTCTCCGGTTTTTTTCTTTTTAACCCGTTGACTGTCGCTGACGCATATATGCGCAAAACTAAACTGGCCAAAAGTGGTTCATGACGCATATATGCGCAACTTAAAAAAGGTGATTAAAAACTTCTTAAATGTTCCTGAAACCGGTTACTCGGGGGTTTTCGAGGTCGCTGATTACGAATCTAACATTAGTTTTCCAAAATTCAAAATGGCGAATCTAATATGTCGGACAACGAAATAAAAAATTGATCAGATTGTCTTGAAACTGAATACTCGGGGGTTTTTAGGGTCGCTGATTACGAATCTATCATTATTTTTTCAGGGTATTTGTCGAAATTTGATTTCACCAAAAATTATCACACTGACGTCAGATTAACCAGTTTGAAACAAATTCAATAAATTTTAAAAAATTTTCCTCCATATTGAACTAGATATTTTGATTTTTGAAAATCTGATTTCAGATTCGTAATCAGCGACCCTGAAAATCCCTAAGTATTCAGTTTCAAGCCAATCTGATCAATTTTTTATTTCGTTGTCCGCCATATTGGATCCGCCATTTTGAAATTTGGAAAACTAATGTTAGATTCGTAATCAGCGACCCTTAAAACCCCCGAGTAACAAGTTTCAAGCAAATTCGACGAATTTTGAAAAAATTTCGATATTTTGAATTTAGAAAAACTGATGTCAGATTCGTAATCAGCGACCCCAGAAACCTTAGGGTACCAAGTTTCATAAAAATCCATTAAAAATTTTTTCAACACACTTTTGGCCCAAACAGTGGAAATCTCGTTGACAGCCAAGGGGTTAAGCAAACAACAATACCTTAATCTACATTATTAATTAAATTTCCAACTAGAAAAGTATGAAATCAGCAAAATTATTAGTTTGTTTAATAGTTTGTTATTTATTAAGTAGTATTAAAAGTAATTAATATTAAAAATAATTAGAGGAGAGTTGTCAGAATTGGGCATAGTTTTGACTTTTCTTCATAACTTCCCCTGTAGAACGAATTTCGCGATTTTACTCATATTGTTGGAAAGATCAACACAAATGCAATGTGTTTGCTGAACATTGTAAAAAAATTTGACCAAAAGATTCGGAGTTATAAGCAATTTGAAAAAAAAGTTACCAGGGTTGAACATGGTTACCAAAGTTGAGCCACTGTAGAAAATCAATGAAATATTTAGGTAAATGATTAAAAATTACCTTCAAATGTTAGAATGACACTTGGAAATGGGGAAAGGAATCATAAAATTAAAATAAAATCCCATATTATGCATTTTCATTTAACTTTAGATATTTTATTCCTCATGAACAAAATCCAAAATTGAAAAAAGGTTTTTGCTGACCCTATATCACAGAGTCACACAATACTCAAATATACGTTCGTATACTTAACTGTGACTTATATGAAAAGGTGGCTAACATTAGTAGCAATAATTTACGTACAAAGATGGATGGCGCTAGTGTGATAAAACGAAATAAACGCGGTGGCTCAACCCTGACAACTCTCCCCTACTATTAAATAATTTGAAAAATAATTAATACTAAATAGTTTTAGAAAATAAAAATAATGTTAAATGTTAAAAAATAATGTTAAAGATAATAATTAATATTAAATTCTATTTTAACTTAATATTTTTATTACATTTTTTCCTCTTTTTATTCTACAGAAAATAATGTTGTATAGTAAAAACTGGTTCATATTGCTTCTATCAATTTACAATCTTTATTATTCATTGTAAATATAATAATTAGTGTGATAAATATTTTTTGAAACATAAACAACAATTATATATAGCAATGATATATGTTATCACTCGGTCGATAAATTAATAAAACGAAGAAATACATAGTCGATCACTCCGAGTCAAGATTTCAAAAACAAAAAAAGACTCGGAGTGATCGACTATTTCATCGTTCTATTATAAACAACAATTATTTGTGAATCATAGAAAAATATATAAATTATTTTGACAAATTATTATCATTATTATCACATTACACCGAAAAAAAAATATTCTTGTTTTGAGAGGACAATTCCTTTTCTAAAATCCTCTTACATTTTATTCTTGAATTAAGAATATTACTCTTCATTGGAGACTGTTCCTCTTGTTTTAAGAGGAATTACTCTTAAGTGGAGAATAATTCTCTTAAAATAAGAGGACGTTTTTTGAGCCATAAACAAGAGGAAAACATGCATTGAAATAAGAGGAATCCTCTTAAAACAAGGATATTTTTTTTCAGTGTAATATATTTATAAAACATTTCTATTATAAATTTTATTTTTGTTTTATATCATCATAAATTTTATTTTTTTTAAATAAATAAATATTGCAAATATAAGAAGTTGTTATTTGAACAAAAAATTTTGTTTTCTGCACTTACTGTGAAGCTTCGTGAGATGTTTTTGAGAATAGGGGAAAGTAATGAGAGCAAAAGCGGCCAATGCATGAAGAATAAAAATACTTATGATGTTTATCCATTTTAATTCCTGTTCAAAATAAGTTGTCGATTCCTTCTTTTTTTCAACAACAAATCCATTTGATTTTGTTGCTTCGAAATTTCCATTTTCCTTTGGGGTAATTTTCTCTGACAGTAGTAAAGAATTTTCATCCTTGGCAGACGTTTCCTTATCAATGCATGCTGTTGTACCGGATATATTTGGGGGCATTTCTGTCACGAATTATAATTTTTTGCATAAAATTTCCAAAAACTCGCCTTTCTCTCTCTTCTGTACATTTTTTTTGACAGAAAAATTAAATTATTTATATACACATTTCACTTTTTAATTACGCACTATTTGAAATTAGGACAATTTAGAATAAAGAAAGAAAGACTTTTCTTTGAAAAACAATGTTCTGAAATAATATGCAATTTTTAAGAAAAAGTGTTACCTTAAAATTGTGTAATAACATTTTTCACTCTAAATATTGTGTAACAGATATAAATATATTGAGTTTAATTTTCAAGAATTCAGCTTCCTAATTTATAATAAATTTTTTGCAATATTGTTTGTAATTATTTATAATTGCTTATAATTATATATAATCAATTTTTTATTTATAATAATTCTCATTATTTATTTTTGTATTAATCATTTGTGGTTATTTTAATTAAATATAAAAATAAAAAAATTGTTTATAATTATTTATAAATTTAATTGTAAAATATTCAATAATTATAAATTAGATAATAAAAAATAGTTATTGCAAATAATATTTTTAAGCACAGTAAACACAACAATTATTATTATAGCAAAGTGTATTAAAATAGTTTAAAAGAAATTGACATAAGCAGATTACTATTGAAGGGAAAAAACATTAAAACAGACGAAAAAGTTATTTTATACTGTGAAATATTTTTTATTCCCTTTTTTTCGAGTAATTTGTAAGCTTGATATATAAATAAATAATTAAAGAATTAGTGAAAAATTAAAAAACGATTTTTTAATTCTTATAACAAGTGAAGGAAGCAATTAACAATTAACATAAACAACTCCAATTTGTCACCATATTGAACAATTAAAAAAATTTTGTTTTGTTTTAAAAATTATCTAACAATTACTGACCTACAGAAACAAGAAAACGCATCAGCATTTCTTTTTTGAATTATTTTTTTAAAACATAAAAGGTAATTTCTTACCCATTTTTTATTTCAACCGAAATTAATTACAATTTTGTTTTTTGAAATAGTAAAGCATTAAATTTTCTGGAATCATAGCAAAGAAAAAACATATATTTACAATTAATGAGAAATTTACATTAATTTACAGAAAAAAAATTTGCACATTTTCATTAATTAACGTTTTTGATTAGATTTCTTAAGACTTTTGATGATATTAAAGGACAATAGAAGACACAATAAGAACATTTGAGGAAAACTAATATAAAAGGGACACTTAAACCTTTTTTTTGGCGTTACTTTATGAAATGAATTTATGCGACTGACACAAAGCTTATTGTTTTGTAGTTAGTTACTTGGCTTTGCAAATTTCCCTCCTCGTCAACATAACAAAGTGCCTTATCAGCACATTACTGGTCCCGAAAGCGGTTACGGCATATATGTATTAATTGCAGGTCGGTCAAGGTAAATATAAGGAAATTAATTTATTAATTTATCGAAATTATTTCATTATATATTTATTATTGTCGTGAATTTTTCTTCGTACTTTATTATGCTTTTTCTTAAATTTATAAATTTTTATGTTAAGAGAAAAATTATTCAGCAAAATTTTACATTTTCAGGTTTAGCTGCGATGGAATCATTGATTACAGAAAATGACAGTTGAAATTATTTTCCTTTTATTTTATAAACAAATAAATTGTCTTTATTTAAAAAAATGATATCAGTTTAAAAGCGCAATTGAAATAGTAATTCAATATAATAAAAAAAGCGATTATTATATTAAATGAAATATAATAATTGTTTTGTCAGAACGTTACGAGAACTGTTAAAAAAAAGAAATTGTAAACTAAATTATTATACTTAAATTTAGAATTATAATACTTTAAAAAATTGTTTAGAATTAGAATAGAATGCTTCCATGTTTATAAAAGCGATTTTTTTGTGCTTCACTCATAAATTATCGGATGCATCATTTGAATTATTAATATTTGTATTCGTGCATATAATTTTGATTGGAATGATTTATCACTTGAAAATTTATCGCATTTCAAAAAAAGAAAAAAATAGACAGGAAACTGTTAAATTTTCAAAGAAAATTATTATTATTTACAAATTTTTAAATTTACATATTTAAATTTTATACAAGATATTGGAGTAAAGAATACATAATTTTGCACTGTGAAAAAATTACATTTAAAACATTTAAAGACATTCATAACGTAATAAACATTTGCAACAATTTTATGCAATTTATGTGTAAATTTATTTCATGTACAAAAACCTTTAGTGATTATTATCAAAAGAGAGAATAGAAGAAACAAAAAAAAAAGAAACAAAATTTAGAAAAAGTTATTTTAGTTCGAAATATTATGGCAAAAAGGAGATTCTACAAAATGGAAAGTACTTTTTTCAGCTGAGAATAATATAACTTTGTTTTCAGTCCATATATTTTCAAATTATTAAACTTTATTTTCGATTATCTTTTATGAACAACATGAAAGAGAATAAATTAAGGATTAGATATACATTATTTGCGAAAACAAAAGAGCGATGGCAATTAACTAAAAGTTTATACGCCACACTTAAGTTAATTCATTCGTTCCTTTTTGAAGATTCATGTCATTTTACCCTGGGGAATTAAAAAGCAAGTGACATCGTGGAGTAATTAATTAAAACCCAGTTCACTTACAAGTTATTCGATTCTCATTGTTGGTTGGTTCATTAAGCTTTTTGCAGCATAGAGAAAAGCGTAAAATTATCAAAAGTTTACAATAGTGCTAATCTAGGAACGAAAAATTAATGTAACTTGATATAGAATTCCAAATCACTTCGATTTTGACATTTTCTTTCTATTTTCATTAATTATTTCTTGAAGTATCTACTAACATTAGACTTGAGTCACGCAATTAGAAGAATTTATTTTTCATTTACTCAAGACAGTTTTGATGGAAGTTACGTGAAATTCGATAAAATGTTTCGTACCATCTAATAAAACGTTAGATCTAACGTTTGGAATAAACAACTTTTTGAATATGTCTATTGATAATTGTTTTACTATTCAGAAATACTTAAAAATTTGCTGCATTGGAATTTTTGTGACTGGCGCTATAAGTAGTTGCATCCATCCTTCAATGTTGACTTTGCAATTCATCATAGATTACGGAAAGATGAGAAATTGGGATCAAATGGTGATTTTCGATGCATTAAATACAAGTGAGTTTGATAAAAATATGGTGATAATGATTAAAATTATTCATTATTTTAGTTCTTAAAATAAAGGTGATTCGGAAATTTTTTTTCGGTGCCCATAACCCAGGCATAGGTTACACCTAATCTACTTAATAGAATTAAATAAATTAATTAATCTAATCTAATCACTTAATTAAGGAGGGATCATACTTTAGGAGTCCTGAAAGTAGCGCTTTTTATAGAATTGTTTTAAGAAGGGCAAAAGAAACTTAAATCTCTAGGCTTTCTGGAATATTTTTAATATTTGAAGTTTTCATAAACATTTTTTTGGCAAGAAATATTAAAATACACTTTAAGTTAAGATAAACTGTCCATAAAGGTTCATATCTTGAATTCTAAAAAGGTGGGAAATAAACTATTTTTGTAAGGCACAATCTTTACCAATTGTTCGTTTCTTCTTAGTCGGTAACTATAATTGGGAGCATCCTAGATAGCACAACATTTTGCAGAAAGTTTGCAGCAAGTTTGCATTGCAAACTTCGCAAATTTGCATGCAAGTTTGCAGCAAATTTGTGGAAAATTGTCAAATGTCCGCCTTGTGTAAAGTTTGCGGAGCAAACTTGCTTCAAGTTTTACAGAAAACTTGCAGAAAAGTTGTAACAAACTTGCAGCAAACTTTCTGAAAACTTTAAAAATTTTCAAAAAAACCTTTTTGTATTCAAAATGTACATATTTTGTCAAATGTTGCCTTCCCTCTTGGGAAGGTGACAAAATGTCGTGCGCAGCTCTATATGTCCCAGAAAACTACTGCGCAGACATTTTAATTTGCCACAAATTTGCTGCAAACTTGACATGAAAATTTGCGAAGTTTGCATTGCAAACTTGCTACAAATTGTTGTGCTATCTGTAATCATTTTCAAGTCAGGATTTTTTGGGTCTTAGGATCATCAACTTCATACTTTTGGAAAAAAAACTTCTAATAATTCATCGGCTAAACTTGTGTTTTACAAACCAAATCACTCAAAAAACTGGTGTTAGAGAAAGATTGATTTCTTTCCTTTAATGGAAGTCATTAGACCGGTGGAAATATTAATAATAGAAATCATCTTTAGCCATCTCTTCATTTTTCCCCAGCCGTCCTCGAAATATGCGAACTATAATTATTCCACTTAGTGTTTTAAGAGGACACCCTACGAGTGTCCTGTAAGTGAACTAAAAAGAGAATTTTAGCACATTATTTATTGAAAAAGTTGTTGAGTTGTTTCGACATCCAAAGATTCTCCAGTTCTTTTGAACAAGTTAAGTCTCTTTGACAATAAAATTTGTTTTAGAATTGCTTGCATATTAGAATAAATTCTTAATGTGCCTATATATTATCAAGATCATCCAATTGAATGAATTTTTCTAGTTTAGTTGTAACCACAGATTAAGGGCCGGTTTCACCAACAACGATTAAAAGTTAATTAATGATTAAATCCTTAACCGACAAAACATGAGCGGTTAAACTGAAAAAAGTTAATCATTGATTAACTTTTAAGCGTAGTTGGTAAAACTGACCCTTAAAGTGCTACCATCATTTGATAAAATGGCATCTTCAGGAAGGTTGAACAAGACAAGATTACATTTTCTTTCAGTTCGATCTGTAACGATCCATATCGTTTTCTTATTTTTATTTATTTGTTTATACACTCGTCTTCAGCCTACATATCTTGGCTATGCAAGTGTTTCTACAATTTTCCTCTTACAAATTTCTTATACTAAATAACCTTACACTAATTTTTCGTCTACAGAACGATTTGAACGATTTTGAGCCTGGACCACCCGTCTAATGGGTTTCCTCGCCAGAGGAAAGGGAAACT